TGAAACAAGCGGAACGTGGACGGAACAGTACCTCATTGGCTGGTGGCTGCTCAGCTTGAGAGGGCTGTGGCTGTCCAATGAAGTGAGAAGACTTCTCCCACCGTCGAGAGGAAGCCCCAGGTACCCCGCTTCTACGTCCATCTAGAGAGGTATTTTGACCGGTAAACTGCCCCTCACCGTGTTTGTTTGCTGAAGTCACCTCTCCAGGGGCGTGTGGATAGAAAAAAGAAGCCAGGAGGTTCCCAAGCAGCTGGCCTTGTGGGACTGAGATTCGTCTGGCCTCTACCACTTGACCTTTCAGGCAAAATTGGATCTACGGCTGTAAAAAGGTATCCTGTGTAGCTAGCAGGGTCTTGGAGGCACGCAAGGTATCACACCACGTCAAGGGGCAGTCTCGTCGTGATGGTCATCGTGAATTTGAAGAATTACGGTTCCGTGTACTTGAAGCACACGGAACCGTAATACTAAAATCGGCTCCGGTGATTCGTATAAAGTAGATAAGTAGGGAAGATCAACTTCTTCTTAGCTCATAAAACTAAAGTGACAACTGAAAATAGAAGAACGGTAGGAACTATAACACAAAAAGACCACGGTTTGTGCAGTATTATTTTCGAATCTTCAAGAATGAGTCGGTGCAGGTAGATTATATTGCGTGTATTCCGCGGGTAGTGTTCGACAACTGCATCCAACCACGACTGACTCAACTAACTTCTCTGAATAAAGAATGAAAATCTGCTGCACTCAAATTTCAGCAAACCTTTTCAAGTGTCATTAAAGAGATTTCAGTTGATTCTAAGGATAGGTTGAGACGATATTCCGCAGGTCTACTGGTTGACATGTACTTCTGCAGGTTGAGTGGGTAAATAAACGCGGCTAGATCATGGCTATGGGTTGCGCTTCGCCAAAGGTAAACTGTGTGAATACAGGAATAAAAATGTGACGGTCGTTCAGAGAGATCGGACGGTCAGAAGCACAAATTGCGATACAACTTCTATGCAGTTAAACAAAATACCATGGAATTCCAACCAATCGGGTGATCCCAGACAAATGCCATTCGATTGACTGATTATCGATTGGCTAACACGCGGACCATACAGACAGAGATGAGACAGTCAGGATTGAACCAATGATTGATGGAGCCTATTGATATTCATTTCCATGCGTTATATGAAACACTGGACCGAAAACACAAGTCGTATTTATTCTACCTTTATTGTTCTCTGCAGTCGGTATTCCATCCGAATCCCAGTTAGTGTTATCTGATTACAAACATCGTTCCGATTATTGTGGACGTCTGTGCGTGGATTCCAATCTGATTGGGTATACAACGTATTTCTCTTCTCCAAAATCGTGGGTACTCATTGAACTGGTGTTCATAAACTATAATTGCCGTCGTTCTGAATTCGATAAATGATGCTTACTAAATTTGTCAGAAGGGGATTTTTCATCCAAATGCGTAAGTGTCTGGGGAAGGGACAGCTGCTATTACAGATACGGTATTCGTATTCTATTTGTGGACAACCGAAACATGGGATACGGTAGCCCACTGGGATCAGAAACTATCAATGTGACCACTCAAGCATGTTCTAACATAAAAGATATCGTTTTCATTTCAAAGCTCTCTTTTGCGGGTACTTTGACACGAGTATCAGTGGGTTCTCGTCGTATTGTAACGCTTATTTTACTCGTCTAGCACGGTTTAGTAGTGCTGGTATCATATACAAATCGGGTATAAAAGAACTTCGTGTCCTTCGGGTCCGATACGAAAACTCCTATGCAGATCTAGACATATTTTTGTACTCTATGGAATAGTATCAGAACCCGAAGACGCTTTACGCTTTTATATTTACTCATCAATACAAAGTCACCAGATATTCAGAATCAACACCCCGAACTGTGCAAACGGTGAATAATTCAGGCCCAGCTTAGTAACTACTATTTCCTCCAATGCAATTGAGTGTATTTATGTATCTAGGTTATTTCTTAGTTAGTCCAGATGCAGACAGAATATTCTGGATACATAGTGCAAAATATTGGTCTCCGCATCCTCAATCAAAATTGAGCATCTTTCTCGAAACACTCAGTTAGATAAAAAAAACAGTAGTTGTCACCGCTGTTAACGTGATTGCAAAAAGCGAAGTATTCAAGAACGAACATGTTTCTGCAAAATTCGGTATAAAATTGATCGAAATCGGAACTAGTAGTCGGGGATGAGAACATTTCAGCCAGCACTCCCTGAAACAAAGTGAAAATTAACATCACGTGATTTTTCAGCACTCAGTTCACTCAGTCATTCGACTGTACCGGAGTCAGGCATAAGAATACCTCAGTGAAAAAAGGTTTTACGCACACACCCGATAAAAATTGTGTGCTTGTATGTTAGCGGTACTATGCGATTCAGCACTCGGTAATCGATGACTTACTCATCTTTGATACGAAATCGTTCCATGAGCCACGAGCGCAATTCCTCGGACTTTTTAGGAATCTGACTCATTGGTATACGTCTAAGATGGATATGCAATGTGTGGCGTCGTTTGAACCAACCTGTGTGACAAAATGGGTTGATGCAACAAGAATAAGAGGAAATCCTATAGGTGAAATCGACGTAGAGTAATACTTCGTTTGTCCTCCTCGGTTCGTTTTCCAACGTTTTAGGCATTCAGTAGAACAATCCAATAATGAGTTAAAAGTAAGATCATTAGAATGATCTTTAACTTTATTTGAATCAGCAGATAAACTCTTCGAGAACGAGTGCATAATGACTTTCAGGGCAAGGATTCGTGAATGCTTACACTGGTGTGGAAAAACGATTAGTAGAAGGTGATTACTTCGTGTTGTTAAATTCATAAATACACTGGAAAATCAGTCCGCTGCTTCTGTTATCCTGGAATGTTCATGGACACTGAGGCCGAGTCCTTGACGTCATTATGGTTGTGCATGGATGTAGATCAAATCTATCACTAACTGGTGCTAGTGCTAGGTGAACCGTTGAGCTAATTACGTGACACTAACAGTAGGGCTGCGGAGCGAGCTTTTGTGAACCGCGCTCACAGAACGTATGAGTGTGACTATAGAATGTATGACTGGATGACAAAAAGTGCATACCAATAACCCACGTCCAAGTGATTCGAGCACTAATAGCCACTCGAATGGTTCAGTCATACGCTTCGATTGATATAAAACTTGAAACAAATCGTCAAACTGCATCCGGTTGTGCGAAACCATAGACTGCGCATTCCGTAACTCGTGACTGATTTACGCACTACACTCATATAAACAGAGTTCGAACAACAATGAAACCACAAGATTCACACAGTACAGTGATGAAACCATGCAACAAGTAAAAACGCATCAGAGATCCAAGTAGTGAACGTGTCTGTTTGAATCACAAACTCCTGAAAAAGATCACACAAGCAACTTGTGCACGCGTAGTAATTTGTTTTGGCAAGAGGGCGTGTACTTTTAATTAACCCGGAAAATATTGCAATGCGTGCAAGGTTTGAACGGTTCTCATAGGTACTATTGATCGCTTGTGTCGTTAAACTTTATATCACTGTCCGGTTAGTAGTACCGTTGATAAATGATGGAGTGTCAAATGCCTGCTTACGTTTTCATTTTCCGTGGCTGAATATTGAAGAACAAGTGCACACGCAAGTTAATCGGGCCGATATTCATTGATCGTCAGTTCCAATTGGCCGGCGTTAGTTCATCTTGCCCTATAAACTGTTGAATCTTAAGCCGTACAGATTCTACACACCTGTTATTCGGAACTCTCCAATGGTAATTTATAGAGAGAAAGAGTTCGGAAATGTCTATTGTATGAACAATAGAAAAATACAGTTTTTATTTCGATTTACCATGATCGTCTTTCGAAAATAATTAAAAACAAAACATAACCAATCTGATATTTTAGTATTATTGATCACAAATCAAGAATGTCCCTACTAATCCTGGATCGAATGTTTAATAACCCTGTCCAGTATTAGTCATTGGATTAAGCAGTGCGTGCCATAAACGCCAACCAGACCCATCAAGTTGTATCTCACTGTATGTGTTTGTGAAGCAAAGAATAAACAGAAATAAACTGATACTCAGAAAGAACTGCATGAAGAAAATTTGATAACAGATGAATGCAGCCCAAATCCAGTAGTTTCAGATTACGTGGGCTTTACCATCAAGTTACATAGCGCGACTGCAGTGATCAATTTACCAATTTTCGGACCAGAATCGACGAAATCGAGTTTTATCGAGTTTTCCGACCATTATGGGATGAAAAGTGATTAATTAGTATTTTGATTCCCCCTAACTAAGCCAAAAGCGCCTAAAAACTCGTAATCCGGTTTGCGCATCGATTCGTTTATGCATTTAGTAAAAGGATGTCAACAGATCCCCCCCCGTACCCTCCCTATTTTTCGATTACAGATGACCATCCTTCAGACTTTATCTTCACACACAATCCACAGTTTACTCAATCAACCGCAATAAACCACAGGTTTGCTCTTATTGGAGTTCATCAATAATCCATCTCCCTTTGCCCTGTCCAGGCTTCGAACTCTGAAATCATCGTGTGTGTTGCCACTGTGACAATCACTTCATACCGGGGTTGATAAGAAGTATTAACTAGTATAGTAGTACCACACACCAGTGATGCAGTGTGGCCGGAGTTCAAAACCCGGATGACATGATGGAGATGTACTAGTGATGAGCACTGATGAGAGCGAAAATCGAATCTAGTACTTCCGAGTGTTTAATAGACTGAACGAGTTGAGGATTGCGGATAACCATGAATGATTATCAGTTGAAATTATTAACATTTCCTTTTACAAGTCAATCCATTATCAGGTTAGGGTTCGGTAGGATGAACTTAACAGACAGTGAAAAACACACCTAGTGGAGATGTAAGCTTCATGTATACGATTTTTGGAATAAATGCGTGGGATTCGAGTACCTCAAACCCATATCGAGAAAAGCTGTGGCTTTAGGTGTGGAAAACCACAGAGCATTTTCTTCATTATGAGGAGATCACACAAGTTCAGGAAGAAACGGGTGATCACAGCGGAGTTTCTTTTTCCTTTTTCCTTTTTTTCCTTCCTTTTATTTAATACAAACTGATACAATTTTCAGGAATGAGGAAGTGGCAAATCAAAGGGCTACTGTACAACATACAAATGGGGAAAGGCCGGTGGTGGTGATGGGATTCGAACACACATCCCGGACGTTACCACTGGGTAACAACCACCCAATAAGAAAACGCACTCGACATTCACCGACACAATCTCATCTTTTCTTCCACCCAACCATAATTTTTTCCGTAGACTAGTGGTGAAAAATTAGCAGAATCCCGTCTAGTACGCTGAATGGTCCGTGCATGCAGTGCGAGGAGAGTTAGGGTGAACAAAAAAATTTGCTGTGGTCTGATAAAGCTGATTTTTTCATGGTGCAGTGAGTACGAAATCACGTTCAGTGTGTTGGTCACCAAAGGATTCTCACGTGACAGGAGGAGGCATACCATATCCATAAATTCTTCTTTGGTTTTGAGTTAGTGACACAAAACTGCTAAGTCCTTATTTTATCTGATCATACCATCAAGCTTGTGACGACCAGAATTCGGACATGCGGGACTGTGGGTCGTCGAGTTTTGTTCATCTGAAACCGGCTATAAATCAGAACGGTCACCTTGGGACCTTAGAAATAAATATTAGTATGAGATATTCAACAACATCTCAGGTGTAGGTATTAATAAATAGGGGTGAACACAACAACTAACCATTTAAGTTACACTTCGCCTTATTCGAGCGCACTGATTCGGGATTGCATAGTGGAACAGTAAGTTTCACTCACACCTGATGCTGATTGAATTCAGAGCCGAGTGCACATGAATCAGAGAACAGTGGAGCAATCTGCGTCCGTTTGGAGACTGTACAATACTATCAGTAGATTCCAATCGGAATCTCATGAGCACGGAAGAGACCACATTCATATCCCCTTAGCTTGATGGTTTGAAAGCCTGTAGGAACTCAACAGCTGTATCCATTGTTTTCCTTTTTGTTGACTGTCCAAGTCAGAGGTGACTTCACTGTTGCCTGTAGTTTGTTTTTGCTATTACCGGACAATAGCAAATTTTGGAATGAATGACGGGATGACAAAGCACAAGAGTAAGGAGACTCAATTCCATCTAACGAGGTGTTAACATACGCAATTAGACCCATACCGAAGAGAGCCAGTAAACGCTGCTGCTGTGCGTACTTAGAGGAGCGAAGCAAATTTCGTGTGCATTGAAGGAAGCAAATGAAGTAAGCTCTTTCAATTGACTCCTCATGCAGAATGAGTTAAAAGTAAGGCCCAGTCAGGCTCAATATCGCAAGCCGAGTGGGAGTCCTCATAGTAGTATTACTTGGACAGCAAGAAAGTCTACCATTGTTCTTGATGTCGTGTTGATCGCGAACAGAATACCATACACATATCATGTGTGTAGCACAATTTTGAATAGACTTGAGTTAGTTATTTTCGCGTTTCGCCATGAATGCATCGGCAAAAGAACGATCCTATAGGTTATACCATGGCCATATCATCCTTTTGTCGATAAATTTGCTCGTTGAACTTAAATTGGACGTTGTATGTGCAAAAATAAAGCAGGTGTTTCAGGTCTTCCAAAGGAAGGCCTATCTCAACATTGTTACTTTGTACGTAACTACACAGGTATTCGATGGTTTCGCTAATGGGAACGTTGGTGAAGAGCAACCTAAATTCCAGTGAAAGCATTGTCCGACCCATCAAGTTCAACTAGCAGATTTATCGATAAAAAGATGATATGGCTATGGGATCACCTCTAGGATCGTTGTTTGCCGATGTGTTCATAGCGAAACTCGAAAATCTACCTTCTTAAAACAACGAATGGGTCCACCGTGATCTTCGTTTCCATCGACATCGTGGTCAGTGCGTCAACTTGCACTGCATTAAGTGCACTGTTGACTAGAAAGTTGTGAGCAAACTGCAAAGTGAAACATGAGAGCCCAGAATTGGGGGTATGTCTTCGCTAGTAGCCAGGCAGATCCCGTGAAAAAACCGTTACTTTTTTCCGACAGAAGACCTGACTGGAAATTTCAACGGAGACTTATCCGTGTGATGACATCATCAGAACTAAATTATATTTCTTTTACTGATAATTGTACCTTTTTGCCCTCACAGAACTAGAAAGAACTAACAGCATTACCATTTATGATAAAATTATTAGAACTCAAATGTTATGCACGGAAATCATCCTGGCCAGCTGGACTAAGCTAACCAGTACATCCGGAGCTGAACCGGGGTCAGGGTTGGATTTCTTGCAATTCTTTGCTGTCTGCTTTTTGGAAGAGATCACTGATAATGACCCTGTGTGCTAAATGTCATTATTTGCTCTTCCGGATCCATTCAACATGCAACTGCCGCGATTTTGTGTCCCCAACAGTCACACACGTCTACCGAAACTGGCATGTGAACGGTTATCCACCCGTTTCAACCCGTTTGTCACAAAGTTCAAAACCGACTGGTTTTCTCTCGAACGAACTTTTAAAGAATCCTAATGGTTCCCTGTACTAATGGGATGACCCTGACCGAGAAACACAATGAAGGTGCAACATGAATGTGCATCGTTTATCCGAAAGATAATGGGCCGCAGTAAAAGTGCAATCAGTAGTGAGAGTGAACCCACGGGTTATCCTACTGTCACAGGCAAAACCGTTACCCGAAAACTGGCATTGATTATCATTCCACGCGAAACAGTGTGACAATCTGTCACGGTCAGGCAAAAAGGTTAGGGTATTTAAACTGAAATTGTAAACATTTTTCAACACACCAAGGAAAATCCAAACTTCACAGGGATAATGTGAATAAAGTTATTTCGGCTGCTTTCAATCAGCAATATAAGTACAGTGATGATCAGGATTAAATGACAAAATATGGGACAAATCAAGACATCTATCAGATCAATTTTTAGTCCCAGTTGCTATAGAATATAAAAGATGTCAAGTTCCCTTCATTGGGACAGTGCACAGACGAATAGCTTGTGTGATAATAGGGTAACCCAATTGCACCAGTATAGTACGCAAAACTTTATCAGGACCACTCTGTTTTTCTGCAA